GGGCAGACAAGAGAAGGGAACGAGCTGTTTCTACAATGTGCATATGCTTCCGTTCAGTAACACCATTTTGTTGGGGATATTAGTACACGAGGTTTGATGAATTGTGCCATCAAGAGCAAGCAATTCAGAGAAATCAACCGAAGTATACTCTCGACCCAAGTCGTATCTAAAGCACTTAATTATAGCAAAATCTTGAGTTTTAATAAGTGCTCTAAATGAACGATAAACAGAAAGGAAGTCATATCGTCGTTTCATAAGATAAATCCAACAATAACAACTATAATCATCAATAAAAGACACATAATATCTAGATCCTCCTTTTGTAGCAATAGGAGTAGGTCCCTATACATTAGAGTGAACAAGGTCAAATGGTGCAATAGAATGAGAAACGCTTTGAGGAAAAGGTAAAGCAGAAAATTTAGCTAATTTGCAACAACTACAATCAGAAATGTCATGAGTTTGCAAATCTCCCAATTGACCTTTAGAAACTTAAAATTTCAAACGACTAGCGGAAACATGTCCAAGGCGAGAATGCCATAAATAAAAACTAGAAGACGATGAATTTAAACAGAAAGATGACAAGTCAACACTAGAGGTGAATTCAAATAGAAAGATGACAAGTCAACACCAGAGGCTGCAACTTGTGGTGGTCTCAGATTGTCCAAAACATATAACCTTCCTTATCTAAGGCCTATCCCAATCCGCTTCTAAGACCGAAGATCCTATAAATGATAAGCAGTAGAAGAAAATTGAACTAAGTATCTAAAATCACACAATTGGCCAACTGAAATAAAATTCGAAGTAAGAGCTGGAACACAATAGACATCTAAAAGTGATAAATTATGTGTGTTAACAGAACCAACACATGCTAAAGGCAATGGTGTGCCATCAACAGTCATAACAGACGTAGACAAGTTAAAATGACGCAAGTCATTAAAGAATTTTGAGTTAGACAACATGTGTTTGGAAGCACCTGAGTCAAAGATCCATGAAGAAGAAATACCTAAATGACTATGATTTAACAAACTTATATGAGTTGAGGCTGACATAGCATGTGACTGTGTGGCTAAAAACTTCGACACTACTCTACTAAATTAGTCAACATAATATTGGAGGAAAGAGGTGCTCCAAGTATAGACGAGTCACTAGATGGCATGGTGGCAGCTATGTTAGCATTGGGATGATAGGATCGCTGTTGTGGTTGTAGCTGCTGTTTCTTCAATAGTTTAGGACATCGAGACTTCCAATGTCCCTTTTGTTTGCAAAAGTTACACTCATCACTAGCAACTCTCTCATAACCTTTGTTTTGATTTTGTGTAAACGGTCGAGATGGTACAGCTAACACTGAGGTCCTAGATAGAGGAAGAGATTACTCTCATGCAAGAGATTTCAAATGTGTTTCCTCGACTAAAAGTTCACTAACCACCGAATCAACTGAGGGAAGTGGAGTGCAGTGCAAGATAGAGCCTTTAAGTCCCTCAAAATTACTACGAAGTGCTATAAAAAACTGAACTAATCGATGCAGCTCTCTAAAAGTAATATATTCCTCACATGCGTTCAGTCCCGTTGATTTCGTAAGAGCCAACTCATCCCAAATTGAATTCATAGTAGCGTAAAACTCGAGAATACTCATATTCTTCTATTGTAAACCCGTATATCAATCTCCAAAAAATTTCAAACGACTAGCGGAAACCTGTCCAGGGCGAAAATGCCATAAATAAAAACTAGAAGCTGATGAATTTAAACAAAAAGATGACAAGTCAACACTAGAGGTGAATTCAAACAGAAAGATGACAAGTCAACACCAGAGGCTGCAACTTGTGGTGATCTCAAATTGTCCAAAACATATAACCTTCCTTATCTAAAGCCTATCCCAATCAGCTTCTAAGATCGAAGATCCTATACATATAAGCAGTAGAAGAAAATTGAACTAAGTATCTAAAATCACACAATTGGCCAACTGAAATAAAATTCGAAGTAAGAGCTGGAACACAATAGACATCTAAAAGTGATAAATTATGTGTGTTAACTGAACCAACACATGCTAAAGGCAATGGTGTGCCATCAACAGTCATAACAGACGTAGACAAGTTAAAATAACGCAAGTCATTAAAGAATTTTGAGTTAGACAACATGTGTTTGGAAGCACCTGAGTCAAAGATCCATGAAGAAAAAATACCTAAATGACTCTGAGATAACAAACTTATATGAGTTGAGGCTGACATAGCATGTGACTGTGTGGCTAAAAACTTCGACACTACTCTACTAAATTAGTCAACATAATATTGGAGGAAGGAGGTGCTCCAAGTATAGACGAGTCACTAGATGGCATGGTGGCAGCTATGTTAGCATTGGGATGATAGGATCGCTGTTGTGGTTGTAGCTGCTATTTCTTCAATAGTTTAGGACATCGAGACTTCCAATGTCCCTTTTGTTTGCAAAAGTTACACTCATCAATAGCAACTCTCTCATAACCTTTGTTTTGATTTTGTGTAAACGGTCGAGATGGTACAGCTAACACTGAGGTCCTAGATAGAGGAAGAGATAACTCTCGTGCAAGAGATTTCAAATGTGTTTCCTCGACTACAAGTTCACTAACCACCGAATCAACTGAGGGAAGTGGAGTGCAGTGCAAGATAGAGCCTCTAAGTCCCTCAAAATTACTGCGAAGTGCTATAAAAAACTGAACTAATCGATGCTACTCTCTAAAAGTAATATATTCCTCACATGCGTTCAATCCCATTGATTTTGTAAGAGCCAACTCATCCCAAATTGAATTCATAGTAGTGTAAAACTCGAGAATACTCATATTCTTTTTTTGTAAACCCGTATATCAATCTCCAACTGATGCTACTTTGCAAAGTTAGACTTAGTGTAGAACTTCTGAAAATGTTCCCAAACTTCCTTTGCTGTTTCGAACTTTGCCAACTGTGTACCAATTGATTGCTCAACAGAATTATGAATCCAAGTAAGAATTTTCGCATTATTTGATTATCAATTATCCAACTCTGTCACATAATTATTAGCAGTATTCTTGGGTTTCACAACAATTCCACTAACAAAACTCCCCACAATCTTTTTCCTTCTAGAAAATTTTTCATCACGGTACTCCAAGATGAGTAATTTTTACCATTTAATCTGACACTAATGGATTGAAGTGAATCATCTCTTTCAATTGACATCATAAAGTTAACAAATAATCAACTACGAATCAACAAAATCACCAAATTCTAAGGAAAACCAACGATAATCAATGTACCACCACAAATTACAATGATGAATTATTGCACAAGAAATTGGAATTATTTTCTCTATTGCTACCTGTGTCTCCGTGTTTTTTTTTTTTTTTTTCAATTTCTAACTTTGTTTCTAAGCAAGGGGTTTGTGATATAAAATATCTAAAGACGAGTTACTTTCATTACACTAAAAAAATTAATAATTGATGCACAAGTGGTGGCCTTTTTTCACGTGTAAACAAAACGCCGCTTTCATCACACGCATCGAGCAAAACGTGCCACCATAATTTAAACTATCAAAATATTTATTTATTTATTATTATTACAATCAATCTCTAGAATTCAAAATGGACTCCAATACTTTCTCCTTTCTTTAAGCCAGCAATAAATTTCACTCAACTATAGGCTCTGATACCATGTCAACAACATGAGTTACCTTGAATCAATATAGTTAAACAATTCAAAGAGGAGAAGAAGAAGAAGAACGGGAGGAGGAAAATCAATAATATATTGAGCTGCCAAAAATTAGATTTTCAATGGAATACACAGGTTTATATATTACAAGAAAAGAAAACAAAAATAAAACATATAAATAAGGAAACTAATTATTATGCAATAATATTATATAAGGCTAATAAGCATATCTCTATCCTCTATTATACTCTATAATGATCGTTACAAGTGCTATAATCCTTATTATTTTTCTCAAATAAAAAAAATCAGTAATCAATTCAATTATGGATCAATTAATTTAAGAATTAAACATATAACAATCATTCAACCAAAACAAGTAATAAAGTCAAAGTCTCGAAATTATATTAACACATCATAATATTGGGTTCGTCGTCATCGTAGTGACTAGAAATTTAAAGTTACAATTTGTATTCTATGTGGAGGTAGACACAAATTAGGTAACATATTTTTCCAATTAGAATGCACCATGCAATCACATGCTATAGTCCATCGTAATCGCATGGTTATGTGTATGGAGCTACAGGAACTGACTTCAACCTCATTGCAATCGAATGTAAGGATCCTTGCGACTGTAAGGTATTCCTTCTTTGAATTTGTTCGCTTTGGTCCATGAATTCCTTCTTCAGTTCAGCTTGAGTCCTTCCTTGTTCAAATTTAAGATCTTTCATCTTTAAATTGTTTTCAATTTGATCCATGCAATCCTCAATTGCCCATCCGTGATCTATATCAAGTTTTGGAGATTCGCAATTGGTTCTTTTAACAATTGTGGTTCTTCTACCCTCTTTGACCGATTTTCACTATTTTCATCATTTTTACCTTCCAACATTGAATTTCTACTACAACCAATATTAAGTAGTAACTCTACTAAAGTGAGTTCCAAATATCCACTTTTAAAAGTTTGAATAAAAGTATGTTTGATTGCAATAATGAAAATTGTATCGAAAGAAAATAAGTTCTAGGCTGCCAAGAATTTATTTATATGGAAATTATTAATTAAATTTGTTTGATTTGTTTAATTTTCAATTTAGAAAATATTATACGTGTTTATCTTTTAATGATGAGTAGATGAGAGAAATAAGGTAGATGTGAGGGAGAATTGCTTAGAAAAAAAATGTCAATCAAATACCCAATAGTGAAAAAATCAAATACCTAAAAGTAGGGATTTTAGTGAACATGACATTTTCAAAGCCAATGACATTCCAACAATTTTTCCTACAATAATCATTATTTAACCAATATTATCCCAAATATCTACTTTTGAAACATGGCGCGTGTAAAATCACACTTATCATGTTGAATTTGCTAACCGCCAAGGAGAGAATGGCGGGTGTTGTGCTTTCCTATTCGCCTGTAACCAAGACCACGACTGTGTTCAAAATTCCAACATATCCGAGGTTTGGTCTTTCAATCTCTGAATATTCCGATCACATTATCGACCACGGAATTCTTCGGCATTCAGTTGGCTCTCTCATTATTATATCCTTGTTTTAATCAGCTGTTTGTAATCACTGTGCAAATTTGAGAATATTTCGACCGAGCAAAATTTCCTGCGATTGTTCGTGTTTTGAAGTAAGTGTGAAGCTTAATTTTAATAGTACTGCTGCGGTTGTATTTCTTGTATTGCTTTGAACCGTATGTAACAATCTAATTAGACCAATTGAGTACCCATCCCCTTACAAGCCGGTTTCTACCCAATGTGTTTGCTACAGAAACCGTAGTATCTTAAAATATGTGCCATCTTTATTGTCCGTAAATAATAAGGAAATTGAAAATCCTTTTTTAAGTGTCCATTCTCCTGGAAAGTTTCTAATTCTCAGGGATATTAACTATCCTCAGCATTTACCTATCAGAAATTTGGATTTATTTTCTTCTCTAATTATTCTAATTAAGGTTAAAGATGATGCTAATTTTGTAGTTGATCTTAATCGATTAGTTCTGCAGTATTACATATCAAGTATCAACTAATGAGAGTAAGGAATCTAATCGAATTTTGGAAGCAAATGCCTATTTTTTGTGAATCATAAGATTTTTGAATTCACAGTTATTTCTCTCCTAGAATTTACTAAACAAATGAACCCTTAATTATTGTAAAAGCACTATTCTACTTTGTTTACCCTTAAGGATACTATTTTACTACAACTTGTCGCTGGATATAAGGGTAGGAGGCTATCTGGCATTAATCAATCTTATGCTGTGTTTTCTGTCATGTGCTTTGAAATATCTGATACTCTGTGATATATCTTTCTACACCAGTTGTGAGAGGCCGTTTTTAGAATCACGATAACGTAAGAGGTGATTGGTCATTCGTTGAATTATTCTTAACCGTAAAATGGACATGCTTGGTTCTTTACTGTTTCTACGTGTTCCTCTTACATCCAGTTTTAATGTTATCTTCAACTACTTCCCTTCATAAATATACACTGCTGACTCAAATTCTAGACGGTTGATCCCCTCTGCAGCACTCATTACTGATGTCTCTATATTACTTCCTTATTTTTATTCATCAGATTAAGACTTCCTTGCTTTTCTTCCAGTATGTTTCACTTATTTATTTTATAGTTTTGAAGTTAATAAATGTTGTTGAAACACTTCAAATGTTTTCTCCCTCTTTCTCCTAGGTAAAAGACATTAGCTATCAATCTCCAGGGACCAAGGTCAATCTTTTGAACAGAATAAGTTTCTCACTTCCTGAAAAAGGCACTTCCTTTTCATTTTGTCATAAATAAGTTACATATATTTATAAAAAACAAAAACAAATTTGTCTTTCTTTTTAGCATTTTGCAACTGGTATTGTCTGAATTTTAACACTGAAAGATCTTATGTTGGACGTACGAACTGTAGTAAGTTCTTTTGGTCTGAACAGACAGAATTTATGTTGAAATGCCACTTTTTCATTTACTGGTGGCAGGGGTTTTATACTTACAAAAGATCTCCATATTGAAATAATGTGTATTTTGTCATGCGCTTATGCAGTTTTGGATTGGTTTTTGGACGGAGTGGAAATGGGAAACCTGCTCTTTTGCAGGTCCACCTTTTGATCGACAATTTGTGCCATGTTAAACCAACTGTTCTGTATCTACTGATTTACCTGTTTTCTTATCTTAATTTCTACTCAGATCTTTGACTGTTTCCTACAGTTGATAGCAGGGTTAAGTAGCCAAAATCAGGCTCCATCCATAAATAATGATCAGTCTCCTGAATTGTTATTGCCTGGAAGAGTTGGTATTGTTTTCCAGTTTCCTGAAAGGTATTAACTTCTAATCAGTGCATTGGAGACAATTTTAACTTTTTCCATTTCATAAAGTAAGGTTCATTTGGTATTTAGGTTCTTTAACTGCATCCTATCTTGAAAAAATGAGCTTATACTGCATATTGAATTACATATTGTTTATTCAACATTCATGTTGCATCTTGCACTTGGAGACTAATGCAACTGTAATGTTATTACTTTCATAGTCACTCCATTGGCATTTTCTTTCCTTCAATTTCCATAGCTGATGCCCCCAAGAAAAATGGGAAAAAAAAAATATGAACCCTCTTTTCTGATTTGATTGTGTAGTAGGTTTTGTTTTTATAGAAGTTTTATGCCAATACTAAAGTAATTTCTGTGTTCTATATCTTGTAGTCTTCTTTTTTCACTTAAGAGGTTTAACTGTTACATCAACTGATGTTTGCCTTGAGTGATTTTGCATCCACCGTATGCCTATCTTTTTTCTCGTATTAAAAGTTCATATTGAATGCTTGTTTGCTTCAGATTACATAAGTACGTAATTGCAGTTCTGTTAGGGTATCTAATACAATAGATTGTCCAGGTACTTTGTTGCTGACAATGTTCTTGATGAAATCATATTTGGGTGGCCAAGACAAAGGGGCGGCGTGCAATTGAGAGAGCTTCTTGCTTCAAGACTCGAAAGAGCTATGACTTCGGCATGTTAGAGCGAACAAGCATTCATTTTCTTTCGCTCCCTTTTTTCCTTCATTATTAATTTCTGATTTATAGTATTGTTCACATATAGAATTCTGACCAGTGTTATGGTGCAATTTATAACTTTCAGGTTGGTCTGACTGGAATCTCTCTGGACAAAGATCCACAATCTCTAAGTGGTGGCTACAAACGTCGACTTGCCCTAGCAATCTATTTAGTGAGAATCTTTCCTTTCTTGATAATATCCTGTGTACGTTTGTGAAATTAGAAAAGGGAATAGAGTTGCATTTGCATGTGTGCATGCACTTGTGTGTCTTTATGCCTGAGTGGGGATGTGTTCCTATGTGTAATGTCTTACGTCACTAAGAAGTTCTTACCAAGTGCTCCCACCATTGTGGTCTGAGAAGAGCTAGATGTTAGCACTTATCAGCATACCCCTTCAAAGTGATAGGCCATTTCAATGATTCGAACCCATGATCTTCAGGTGCCAATGGAGCTTAGCTTATTTGCCCAATATCTGTCCTCTCAATGATCTTGCATCACTACAAGTTTGAAATTTGTATTAGTTAATGATCGCATTAATGGTTGTTATCTCTGCTCAGGTGCAAATTCCAGCCCTGTTAATATTGGATGAGCCTCTTGCTGGTCTTGGTATGAAGATTTCTGCTATGCTCTTTAATATGTGACTTGTTTTGATCTTAAGGCATACTAATCGAGACACAATATTTTGGTCTTCAAGCCTATTTGAGAAGCAAGGTAGAAAATCATATTTGTGACACATGGATCTTCATTTCAGTACTCTGTTATTGTCATGTTGAGATGCTTGTTGAAGAATTGGATATTTGATAATGTAGTGCTGTATACTTCTTTTCAGTGGACCTTATGTAATCAGTTAGAAACATAGGAGGCGGGGAAGGTTGGTTGCATTGCGATTATAGAATAACTAATTTGATGTTGTTTAGGTGAATTGGAATCAAGATTGGAATAGGTACCTAATAAGTTGGCAATTTATACAAAGAATTAAGCTAAATTTAGAGAAAAATGGCTCACAGGGCTATTACAGGCCCTCACTTTTGGGGGCCCCCACATGTATTTATATAAAAAAAAATAGTGCTGCGCGGGCCCCATCTTTGTGTGATGCCTGGCTATCCCCTGTGAACCTGCTGCCTGTATGTGAAGCAGCATTCTTTATACAAAATGGTTTAACTGGATCAAACATGCTACGAGTGTATGGCCATTAAAACAACAAAATATCTATAGGATGAACCAAACAGGAAATTTGGTGTTAAGAAGTATGTGTAGCCATAATAAAATGGATAAAATAAAAAGAATACATGTCAAACAAGTGGAGGTGGCACCAATATGGACAAATTAAAGGAAGGATGTTAATTGGAACATAGTTTATAATAGACTTAAAGAAGCTTCTACATTTAAGAGTGATACCTAATAGGACAATTTAGATGAAGGAAATGTAGACCAAAGTTAGCATGGTCTTGATGTGGGTTGCAAAAGATTTGTTTTTGTTTGATCTTTCATAGATCTTCTGATGGATAGAAGAGAGTGGCAAAACATGATTGCAGGGGGCCTTGTCCCACTTACTGATTCTCCACTTCTTTGGTAGCCAACATCAAATTTACTTGGAAAAAAGTCTTAGTTTGTTGTTATGGTTACAATTTCTTGAAAATGAGCTTTTAAAAAAAAATGTTGGAAGAAAAATATAAAACAAATATGCAAAGTTCCTTGATTCAGTCTCCACCAACCCATTGCAATAACATCACGTTTATCCCGACGAATTCGAGCTTGGAAATGAGTCAAGTTGAAAACATAGATCTAAAATACAGTGAGTTCCACAGAAGTCTGATTCATACCATTGGATAGTTTAGGATGTATTTTTTTGCCATTTGTGGAATTTGCTCCTGATTGCATCATAGCTGCACTATTTTCTATCTGTATCTTCATATGTAGCTTGTAGTTGCACAAGCAAAGTAATATGAATCGTCCTCCGTTTAGAAAAAATATCAACTGATGCTTTTAACTTCATGTCTGCTGAGTACTCGTTTTTAAATTACTGAACATTTGTCTGTCTGTTAGATTGGAAGGCTAGTGCAGATGTTGTTAAGTTGTTGAAGAAACTGAAGAAAGAGCTGACCTTGCTGCTTGTCAGCCATGACCTTGAGTAAGTTCTAATTTTGGACATCTTTTTGTCTACTGAATTACTGTCATCTGTCTTCATTTTCCTAGAGAAAAACTTTTATCCTGCTGTAAATTTTCAAACTTGTTGGGCATTTCATTTTCTTGATATAGATGACTTCTTTTGTTTTATTGAAACATCACATAATTAACACCCTCTCCTTGCTACTGCTAACTTCTAGAAGCTTAAAATATATTATTAAATGGGGACCCCTTTTTGTTACAATCCCGTAACTATCAATTAGTGTTTCAGTACATTTTTATTTTTCAGCCTCATTATGACAAGTCATTTTTTATGTGTGAATTTCACTTGGTGTTGATAGTTGATCTCAGAGCAGTATGTGTCCCTTTTGAAAATGTTAAAGGAAATAAATCGGTCAAGAATTACTTAGATTAGGCAATAGTGCAATTAGGTTTATTGTGTTTCCATAATTTTCCTAAGTTTCCATGTGTAATCTTGATTTTTCTATATAATGGAAGTAGATGAGAGGAAGACAATTACTTTTCTCTCCAATGTTTATACCAAATCTTACAACATGGAATGAGAGCATACCTCTTAATTTTTTCTTTGATTCTCTGTTTAGGTGTCGGGCTCCTTGGTTTTTTCATTGGCAAGGTGAGACTACGACATCTAGTAGGTGTCGGGCAGTCTTCAGTTCTTGGATAGTCTTCGGTTGGTGCCAAATGCTTTGGGTAATAATTTCCTCTTCTTTGTGACGGTGGCCAGTGTGTTCACAGTCTTTAGTGGCCGGTGTTACTATCGAAAACTCGTGTTGTATTGTGTGGCTATCGTGACTGGTGGTTGCCGGTTGGTGTGAAGGATTTTCCTTGGCTTTGTGGGTTGGTTGTGGCGGAGTTGCTTGTTGCTATTGTAGGCTGAGTAGGGTAGGTTTTTTTAGCAGTAGTCAGAGCTCTCAACGTCGACGATGCAATTTTGGGTAGAGGACTTCATTGTGGGCAGCATTTTGTTTTAACTTCATTGTAGACTGTCATAATCCTCAGTCGTTGTTGGGCATTTAATTTGGACCGTTTGGAATTTAAGTTTTGTGGGTTAAATATATGTTTACCGGCAGATTAAGCTAATTTTGGGCTGGTTATATTTTTTGGGGCTCTTTTAATTATTGGACTGATTACTTGTTATGAGGATACCTTTTATTATTTGACTCGTTTGTTTAGCTAGTATCATGTCATTCAGGGATGGACGTAACAGTTGGAGTGGACGTAGTTTTAGCTCTCGGGTGGACGAGACACTAGAGGCAACAAGCGTTCGGTATTTCGTGAACTTTGGAAATGTACTCACTATGGTCGTATGGGTCACTTCGTTAATTATCATTGGGACCTACATGGCAAACCATCTGATTCTGCCCATCTGGTCTCGTCTAATGAGAACCATCACCCAATATTTGGACTAGTGCCTAACTCTAGTTCAACAACACAGTCTATTTTCTTATGTGTACCACAGGATGAGTATGCTGAGTTTTTAATAAATCATAAAAGAGCCACTTCCACTTCTATGAACATTTTCGCTCAATCGGGTATTGTATCTTTTCACTATCTATTGTCATCCTCTCACAATCCGTAGATTATCGATTCCAGAGTAACCAAACCCACGACTGGTTTTTCTACTTTTCTTCTTGATTATCACCCTCACTTCTTCCAAATGTGTAAGTCTTGCTAACAGTTCCCGAACTAGTGTTGCAGGCTCAGGCAAGCTCGTCTTAGTCCTAATATTGATTTGTCAGTTATTCTTCTTGTTCTTGGCTTTCCCTTTAATTTATTGTCTATTAGTGAAATTTCCACAACTCTTCAATGTTCTGTAACCTTTTATACTTCTTTATGTGTTTTTAAGGATCTCAAGACGAAGAGGATGATTGGTATGGGGGATGAAGTTGGTGGATTGTATTACCTGGAACAATGTTCTGTAACCTTTTATCCTTATGTGTTTTTCAAGATCTCAAGATGATTGGTATGGGGAATGAAGTTGATGGCTTGTATTACATGGATCTTTCACCAGCCTTTCCTCCTCGAGCTATCCAGTCTTTTGTTTCGCTCATGCACTGGCATGTCGTCTTGGTCACCCTTCTCTTTCCATTTTAAAATGTCAACTTGTGAGTCATCGTAATGTGTCCTCCCTTGAATGTGAAACTTTTCAGCTTAGCAAACATCTGTGTCTTTTTTCTTTTAAGAACTATTAGTTGTATTTCCAGATTATTTGAGATAGTTCATTCTGACGTATGGGGACCAATCAATATCTCCTCTAATAAATTTCAATATTTTGTCATGTTTTGTGGATGATTATTCTCGTATGACTTTGTTGTTTTTAATGAAAATCGTTATTTTCTATATGTCAAGTCTTTCGTACTTTGATCAAAACTCAATTTAACTAGAACATTCTTATTTTGCGGTCAGATAATGCCAAAGAATGTATGTCTACTTTTTTTGCATCATCTCTCTCTTCCAAATGCATTATTCATCAAACATCTTACGCATATACTTCACAACAAAATGGAGTTGTATAACATAAAAATTGTCAATTTGTTAGAAGTTACTTGTGCTCTTCTTTGTCATATGTGAGTTCCTAAACGTTTTTGGAGTGATGTTGCCTTACTGCATGCTATCTCATTAAACCTATGTCATCCTCGGTTTCAGACTATACATCTCCCTTCTCCATTTTGTTTCTCCCATCTCCACAATACTTGTTTCCTCTTAAGGTTTTTGAGTGTCTGTTATGTTCATCATTTTGTCCTGGTCATAACAAATTTGACTCTCGCTCTATGAATTATATGTTCATCATTTTGTCCTTCTCTACAACTCTACTTTGTAAATGCAAATATTACATTTGACGAGTCCACACCTTATTTCTCTGATCATAGTACATCTCAAATCTACTCAGGATCCCGTCAACTTACTTGTTCCATATCTACCGGTTGGTTTTTCTCCATAATCAGACTCATCTCCATCTACTACACTAGAGTTGCCCTCCTCTCATGAGAAACCACTTCCTCCTTTACAAATTTATACTCGACAATGTAAACCACCAACGCTTGTGGCCCCATCCATCACGTTGTCATTTGTAGATCCTATATCCATCATTTGTTCTGATCATTAGTCATTGTCTATTTCTTTTAAAAGGTAAAATGTACTTGTGTAACTGAACATCCTATCGATAATTATATAGCTTTTGATTCGTTATCACCTTCGTTTTCCTGTTTCACATCTTACATTTCTAGTGTTTTTGTACCTAAAACAGTGACAGAAGCTTTATCTAATCTTGAGTGGCGAAAGGCAATGGAATTAGAAATGGCAGGCTTGCACGAGAATAAAACTTGGGAACTCGTTCCTTCACCGCCTGGAATACATCATGTTGGTAACATGTGGGTCTATGTTTCGAAGTTCAATCCTGATGGGACTGTTGATAGATTGAAAACCCAATTGGTTGATAAAGGTTACACACATACCTATAGTATTAATTATGATGAAACATTCTCTCAAGTTGCTAAGATATCTTCTATTCGCATTTTAATTTCTATCGCTGCTAACCTTGGTTGGCCACTATTTCAATTGGATATTAACAATGTCTTACATCATGGTGACTTACACGAAGAGGTTTATATGGAGCAACCACCTGAGTTTGTTGCTCAGTGGGAGTACCAGAACTATGTTTGTAAGTTGAAAAATGCTTTATATGGGTCAAAGCAAGCACCATATTGTTTAGGTATTGAAGTTGCTAGGTTTTGAGCAAGTATCAACTTATCTCAAAGAAAATACGTACTTCACCTGTTAGATGAGATAAGGTTTTCTTAGAACTCGTCCAATTGATACTCCCATGGATCCTAATGTGAAGCTTTTGAAGGATGAAGGAGAACCGTTTGGAGAACCAAGACAATATCGTCGTTTGGTTGGAAAATCGAATTATCTTACCATCACACAACCATATATTTCCCATGAAGTTAGCATCATTAGTCAGTTCTTGGATGCTCCTCGGGTTTCTCATTGGGAAGTTGTGATACGTATTATTCGGTATTTGAAAAAGGCTCCAAGTCTTGGATTATTGTCTAAACCAAATGGACATATTAGAATAGTAGGGTTTACATATGCAGATTGGGCAAGATCTCCATCAAATAGACGATCCACTACTGGTTTCTATTCTTTTCTCGATAGTAATCTTATCTCTTGGTGAAGTAAGAAACAAACTGTAGTAGTAAAGTAGAGTGCAGAAGCAGAATATAGGGCAACAAATCATACTACTAGTAAATTCATATGGTTGCAACACTTTCTTCAAGAAATCAATCTTTCACCTTCTACCCCTATTTCGATGTTCTGTGATAACCAGGCTGCTCTACATATTGCGTCAAATCTAGTCTTTCATGAGAGGACCAAGTGTAACGACCCAGGTCTTTATACCCAAACCGTTAGCTTGCGTACTGTCCGTTTTGGGAGAGTCTAGGCCCATCTTACCCCTCACGGCTTTCTGACGCGTCCCCCAAGATTCAAACCCAAGACCTCTATCATATGGGTATAGAGACCTGGGTCATTACAAACAAAAAAAAAAAAACGCTCTGCCCAATTGGTACCAGTTTCTATTGTATTGGATAGAGACCCGAGGTTTACTTCGAAGTTTTGGATAAACCTTTAGAAAGCTGTGGGTACCTAGTTAACATTTAGTACTGCTTACCATCCTCAAACTGACGGACAATCTAAACGAACTATCCAGATTCTTGAAGATATGTTAAGAGCTTGTGTCCTAGATTTGGGAGGTAAGTGGGAAGATCATTTACCATTAGTCGAATTTGCATACAAAAATAGCTTTCAAGCAACTATTGGCATGGCACCGTATGAGGCTTTGTATGGTCTACGATGTCGTTCGCCATTATACTGGGATGAAGTTGGTGAAAGAAGAGTTTTGGGTCCAAAATTAGTTGAGAAAACTGTAGAGGCTATACATAAAATTAGATCAAGAATTAGGATTGCCCAAGATCGTCAGAAGAGCTATGTTGACAAAAGGATAAAAAAATTGAATTTTGAGGTTGGAGATAAAGTATTTCTCAAAGTGGCGTCGATGAAGGGAACACTACGATTTGGAAAGAAATGAAAATTGAGCCCTAGATTTATCGGTCCATTTGAGGTTCTTGAAAAAATTGGCAATGTAGCATATCGTTTAGCATTGCCCACCCGAACTAGCAGCAGTACACAACGTATTTCACGTTTCAATGTTAAGAAAGTATATCCCAGATCCTAGTCATGTGGTGAATGTTCGATCGTTGGATGTCCGAGTGATATAACATATGAAGAAGCTCCTGCAATGATTCTGGAGAGAGGATCATGTTCTGAGAAATCGTAAGGTCTATTAGTCAAAGTCCAGTGGGATAAACATGGTAAGGATGAGGTTACTCGGGAAAGGGAAGAAGACATGTTAGCCAAGTATCCCAATCTCTTTAAACAAGTTAAATTTCGATGACGAAATTATTTTACGTGGGGAGAGTTGTAGCAACCGAAAAAAAAAATCTTGCATTTCGTCTTAAAAGAAATTTTCTTGTAGAAACCGAAAATAATTTGAGTTGTATTAAGTCGCTACAACCCTACCTAAGAGTTCGAATTAAAGTTTTGGTCACGATAGTAAATTTGTGCGTACTTGTCTTTTAAGCGTCGAATTTCTTTTAAATGTTTATGATGACATATTTTAAGTTCCTAAGATTCAAAAAATATATATACATAGATACACTTATTGTTTATGCCAAATAGTCCTTATACATGATTTTTTGTCTTCAAATAACTCCAATCTTTTCAACCACGTCTTTTAATTTTTTTCTCATCCCTCAATGTGACTTTTCTTTTTTCTTCACTAGACATTTCATTTGAATTTTAATATCCACTAAGTGTCATAACCGTTTAATCATTTAAAATCCATAATGTTAATTATTATTATTGAAAAAAAAGCGCGTTTTTTTGTAATGACCCAGGTCTCTATACCGAAACCGTTAGCTTGTGTACTGTCCGCTTTGGGTGGAATTCAACTTAAGTCTCCCATATGATGGAGGTCTTGGGTTCGAATCTTGGGGGACGCGTCACAAAGCCGTGAGGGATAAGTGGGCATAGGCCCACTCAAAGCGAACAGTACGCAAGCTAACGGCTTGGGTATAGAGACCTGGGTTGTTATACCAAGCACATTGAAATTGATTATCAGTTTGTTCGGGACAAGATAGGGAGTGATGATATATTTACACCATTTGTAAAGACAGGAGACCAGCTTGTTGATATGTTTACAAAGTCGTTGAATGGTAATCGATTAAAGATTCTATATTCCAAGCTGGGCTAATATGATATTATACGCTCCAGCTTGAGGGGAGAGTTAAGGAAATAAATCGGTCAAGAATTACATAGATTAGGCGATAATGCAATTGGGTTTATTGTGTTTCTATACTTTTCCTAAGTTTCCATTCGTGTATCTTGATTTTTCTATATAATGGAAGTAGATGAGAGGAAGACAATTAACTTCTTCTCTCCAATGTTTATACCAAATCTTTATAGCAAAAAACATGAATTAGTTGCCCATATTGAAGTACACTTGTGGATGGTTACCTAGAAACTTGTAGGAAAGACGGGGGTAATATTCTTTTTAACCTTATTTTTCTTATCATGGGCTACTGTTTTACAAGCAAGTTTGGGTCATGCTTAGGTCATATATCACTGGAAATTTACTTGAAGGACAATATTATTACTTGGCGATTTAAGTCAATTTTCAAATTAAGAACCGTTTTTTTCAGTTTTAGAAGTTGAACAGCCTGCTAGAAACTGTTGAAACATCCTTGAAGAAATGCACTTATGAATTTCTGTTTCATGGGAAAAGGGACTAATGTGTCCAACCTTAGCTTTATTTAAATTAATTTATGTTTGTTGTTGGTCCGGATGTTCGAAAGTATTATGACTAATGTTCTGTATCTTGCGGTGGGTAAGTCTAGATACAGGATTCGCACCATGTCCTTGAACTTTTTAAGTTATATTTCTTATCATGTTCCTAAGTGGCATTTTCCAGTAGTATCATACGAATTGTAAAGTGCATACTGATTTAATAAACTTCATATCTAGGCAAAGAAATAATGGATAGAAATGTCATTGTTCTAATTTTGCAGTGTTCGTATATCCACTAACGACAAATCTATATGTATATTCAGAGAGTTGGCCTCTCTTGTAGATCGGTCCTGGAGGATGGAGACGGGAGTATTGAAGAGTGAACTCCTGCCAATTTGATTTTCAGCAAGTTCTTTTCTCTACCCGATCAACTTATGATGCTAAGAGTCAGGTATAATTTCGGTTTGTGATTTACCTGGTTCCTTTCCATGTAGATCTATATATGCTGGAAAGGGTAGAATCACATTAAGTAAATATAGCGACCTTTAGAAACATTGTAAGATGATAGTAAAACTAAAAAGAGTAATTACAATTGCCTATATTAGTTTCGCCTGGCGATTTTTCCTGTGATGCAATGATAGTCATGTGCCCTTCAATAGGAATGCCACCCTCTAATGTACCAGATTCAAATTTAGGACAGTTACATATGTTGAAGGCATCAAATATATTTGCAAAATGTTTGCTGCAATTGAATAATTCCAACATAAGCACTTGTTAAATTGCGCACGACAGGAACAGCTATATTTGATTTTTCATGTTTATCTTAGTTTTTCCAGAAATAGACTTTAAAGAACCATGTGCACACATAGCATTGCAATCCATTACTCTTTCTTCACTGGAAAACTCACGGAGATAGGAGAGACTCCTAGTTTATTTTCTGTAATCCTTGAATTCACACCTCACTCATAAATAAAGCTGCATATATGTAATACCTTAATAAACACCAGATTGACACTGGAACGGATGAGGACAGGCTACCTTTGCTTCAAATGTTTCTGCCTCTACAGCTCCAAGACCAAGTCTACAGTGCGAACAAAATGAAGAGTGAGATAATTGTGCTGAATTAGGATTTGATTGTTCTATGCCACATATTGATGTCTATATTTCACATTTTGACTTACAATCAGTATCTGTCTTAATCCAATGCTCTCCGTTCACTGTTGAAGCACTTTTGCCAACACCATTTGAAGATAGTTTCACGGTATTCTTCTCATTCTTTATGTTGGCTGCTTGAGCAAGCTTTTTATTTTCATTGCCCCCTCCAATCTGAAAGCCACCCTTATGGGAAATGTTTTTGATCTTACCTTTTTGCAAATTTATGAACTGTTTTGTGGTCATCTCTTCAGGGTAAACCTTCGTGCAAAACACCTTTAGAGCCTGCTTATAACATAATTGGAAAGTGTTATAACCACTTCAGTTTAATGTATCATAAGAAAATTATCATTTGGAAATTGCCGAGAGTCATTAATATGCAAGCTTCTATGAAGGGATACTTGCATTGTTGCTGGGGGACTAAAATTAAATTAGTGACTTCCCATTGGGATATAATTAGATGCTGAAAATTAATGGTGTTAAGTTTGAATACCTGGGATGATACATCCTTGCGTATATGATTATATGAAGTTCTCTATAAATTATAAGTGAATAAATTAATACAGAATAAAAAGATCTTTTGCCAAAGATGTGGCAGAATCTGATAGTTTTCCATCCGATTTGTTCACGGCTTCAGTTTTGGTGTTCGTTGGCATGACCTTTGTACTTGCAATTATTCTATTGTCTACAGAACTGCGATATGGAAGCCAATCTTGATCTATCGTTCTTAGGAGAGTTAGTAAGAGTTAACTGACCTTAGAGAGTTTCCTTTTAATTGAAATGGATTCAGCAGCATCACCCTTAGATGAAAGAGTACTGCTGCTTGTTGCAGAATGGAAATTCTTTACCATCTTCTTCATGAAACGTGTTACATATCTTCCCCTTGCTTCTTTATCTGATTCTTCATATTTCCTGCTAGGATCATCATGGAGTAAGTTCCTCTTAAAGAGCTCCCCAAGTGATGTCCTTTCTTTTTTTGCCTCTACCCCAGTCCCAGCCAGTTCAGTTAAAGAGCCAAAGAGATAATTTTGCAGAGGACATGGCACAGTGTTTGTGCCTTCAGAATCTTCTCCTTCAATCTGCTTGTTACTGAGGGTTATAATACTTGCTTGACTACTCCTCTCTGAAGAGTCATTGGCTATCTCTTTTGCTTCAGCTTCAAGAAACTTCTCCAGCTCATAGTTAATAAGCTTGAGGTCATTGTTTGTAATTTCTGTCTCTTCATTAGTCAAATTCGTACAAGGAACAGTAAATCTTGGAGTTGGTGGGTCTGTATTGAGTAGTTCCATACCAAAAGTACCAATTGCTAGAAAGCCAAAGGGATCGAATGAGTCTTCTTGAAAGGTCACTTCTGAATTGTCAGCTTCAATTTTATTTGAAGATTTTTGACACTTGATGTTTGAGTGTGAAAATGTCTTGATTGGGTCTAGATAGTAGTGCTTATCAGAAAATGCCTGCACTGAGAGGCAAGAGGCGGGGTTTCCTGAAATCGAAAATGAAACTCATTTAACAGTTTGATTGTTTCTCCCAAATTTTTTTATATGAAAATTATTGGGTAGGAGGGAATCCGCTTGCCACTCATCAAGTCATGTCAAATTTTGATGAGGAGTTTGGCTTCTCCTTGGTAATTCCATAACTTCATATGTATCATAGATTTTAATCTGTTCGCCATTTTTTCCTGGAGCATTTTAAGCTCTCAGCTATATTTTGAAGGCAATTAAATGCCTCAAAGATATCACAGTATGACAGGTTGTCCTTAACTATGCTGGTATAAGATCTGCATTCATCTAAATGATTCCAAAGAGGGATGAAAAAAAAATCAAGTTTCAAAGCTTTCTGAACTTTATAAATGATAATTGGTGTCCTCAGAGAAGTTACCTGTTGTAAAATTCTTCAGTGGCTCTGTACTATTTTGCCTCGACTTACGGTGCATCCAGCCTAGTAACTGCGTCAAATTCAAAGTCAGAAATATTGCTTTTTTTCATTTTTATCCCAAATTTAGAAGAATTAGGACTCACCTTCATATTGAACTCTGTATTGACGGTTTGATTAGAGATGGTCAATTTTTTCCAGAAAAAATTGTTGTGTTGAAAGGAAATAGATAGATGTTGGATGGAGGAATCAGCAATAAAAGGAGAAAGTTAAAACTCGGAAAGACTGAATTTCCTTTTCATAATGTTGTTTGCAAATAGAACCACCTGGGTTCCTAGAAGAGTCTGAGGTGGACTTGTGCAGAGAACAACATGGAGAAAGGTACAAGATTATGGTGGAACAATTCTGTCAACATTGTATCAGTTGAGGAGTGGGCTTGAGACCCACATGTGGGTGATTATACGCATTTTCTTGGAGTGGTGGCATTGTGCTGATAGATATGAACTTTAGGCGATACTCATCTTGTCTGAACACGATTTGTCTGTTGTGTTTGTCTGCAAGTGGTATTTGAAAATTAAAGGATGTACACGACATGATACGTTGATCTGCCTATGAAGAAAATTTGAGCATGGCATTATTTTTGCATGCACTATTTCAGCAAATGTTTTATTTTCATGTGTTCATTTTCAAAGTACTGGTACCACCATAATTGGTAGGGCCACATTGATTTATTAGTTGCATTCAGAATTTGTGGATAAAAAGATAATTGATTCTTCAAAGATATTTGTACATTAGGCCACCTCTTGTTCCTAGTTGATAATCTGACTTGTGATTTTCCTTGAGATATCTATTTTTGCTGAAAAACTGACCAAATAGAGTATCATATGTTCCCCCTTTATTGACCCCAAAAATCCCAGATAATTATCGGTGGAGCTCGTGTCTAATCAAAGATACTCTTCTGTCCTTCATTCCTATATGCTGTGCCACAATTTCACTTTTATTCCACAATCTCATCTTTTAACCACAATTTCATTTGGAATCTTGAGGTCAAAATGTTTGCTATAGGAATTACAGGTTGTGTTTGTGAAGCTTAATGGGAACATATTTCTCTATTTTCATGAGAGCGTCAGCGTTGTTATGGGTTTATAGCCTTTATCGATTTTATATTACGCCTAATGGAACTGCATTTTTTGTGCAGGGATGCAAACTAGGTATATTACGAGTGGAAGCTGTACTTCACGACATAGGCCATGCTAGAAAGTCTAATGTTGATAAATGAACTTGATCAGACGTCTGCATAGCAGCATCTGGAAAGTCTTTTTTACCCCCAAATGAATATGGAAGTTAATTGCAGCTAAAACCATTTGTGATATTTGTGACAGAAAACCTGCAACTGCCCATGTTTCAGTCCATGTAGGTACATGTTTCCATTTGCTGGTCTTGGATCGTCTTCTTTGCATTTAGACAAAAACAAACTCAATTTTATTCTCCATTAATTTATAATCCGACTATATGAATCTTTTTTTTTGTCACCTTGTCTGATAAAACACTGTATATTCTTTCGGAATTATTTTCATTGTACTCCTATTTTTCACATATATGTGTTGAATTATCAGTATATTTAGCCATACTATCCATCTCCGGCTTTTTGTTTATCCAGTGATCTGGTGATTTCCATTCCCATTAATGTGTGCAAATGTGCTTGGACTTGTATGCTTAACTCTACATGACTTTCTATTGTGTTTAATGCTATCTTACAAATGTTAATGGCAATTAGGAGGTTGTTTAGTCATATCTTGCATTGCATTATGGGGAAAGATTTGACATATATAATTAGTTCATGAAATAATTAAGATGCATTGACACCTTCTGTCAAGCATTTTCTTCTGATACAGACTTTCTAGATTTGCATATTTTCTTCTTTTGTTTTCAGCCATCACTCATTCACCCACCCACTCCACCTGCCGACGTGTAACGGTTATGCAAACTGCAGCTGTGGTCAATGGGCTAAGCATGTCGTCGGTCCTTGACACGGTGTTATTTATTTGGATCAAATTAAGAAATCCTACCTTAATAGTGCAGTGTGTGGTGTAGCTCCCTAGTAAAATATGCTCATCACAGGCTGTTATCTGAACCCGGACTGAGTTGGCCGGACCTAAATGCCTGTACCATTTTGTTTTGGACAAGTTTTCTTTGTGTTTTCTCTAGAAGTAGGCATGCTCGAGTTGGCTCACTACTTGGCTCGAGTCATGCCTAGGCCATGCTTATCATGTATTGGGTCAAGCAGATTTTGACACATCTAACTCATCGTGTCTTACTTTTGTCACGTGAATGCGTGTGAACGTGTACTGTGTCTATTATTGAAGGTATGAAAT